TATCTGGTGGGTAAATGCTTATCATGGCATTGCTGGATTGTAGGGCCACTGTGTTTTATAATAAATTACCAAATTAAGCCAGGCGTGGTGGCGCATGCCTTTAATCCCAGCACTTGGGAGGCAGAGGCAGGCAGATCTCTGTGAGCTCAAGACCAGCCTGGTCTATAAAGTGAGTTCCAGGACAGCTGGGGCTACAGGGAGACCCTGTCTCAAAAAGACCAAAACAATAAATAAATAAATAAATAATAAATAACCAAATTGTCTTCCAAGCTGCTGCTGCTTTACCTTCCCACCAGCCATGAGAACTCCTCTTCAACATTTGACATTGTTGAGTTTTGTTTAGTTGGTTTTTTTTTGGTTTTGGGTTTTTTTTTTTTTTTTGGTTTTTTTAAAAAAAATTTATGTGTATGAGTGTATTGCCTGCATATATGTGAGTGCACTCATGTCGTGCAATGCTGTGGAGGTCAGAAGAGGGCTTCAGATTCCCCTGGAACTGGAGTTAAGGATGGTTCATAGCTGCCATGTCGATGCTGGGAATCAAACCCGGATCCTCTGCAAGAGCAGTCAGTGCTCTTAACCTCTGAGCCATCTCTCCAGCCCCCTTTTTGGTCTTCTTGAGACAGGGTCTCCCTGTAGCTGTAGCTGGCCTGGAACTCGCTATGTAGACCAGGCTGGCCTCAAACTCACAGAGATTCACCTGCATCTGCCTCCCAAGTACTGGGACTAAAGGAGTGTGCCACCATGCCCGGCTAGTTTTCTGTTTTTAAATTTGTAGCCAGTCTAATAAATGTGTGGTGGTATCGCTCTGCTTTGGATCTGTTTTCCTCATGCTAATGATGCTGAACATTTCTTCATGTGCTCACTGCCTTCAGTATGTTTTTGATGAAATGTCTCCTTGAATCTTTTGCCCATAAAAGAGGACTATTTTCTTATTTTTAAAATGTATTATTATTATTTTATTTTATGAGCGTGAGTGTATTGCCAGCATGTATGTAAGTGCACCCATGTCATACGGTACCCACAGAGGACAGAAGAGGGAGTCGGATCCCTGGAACTGGAGTTATGGACAGTCGAGCTGCCATGTGGGTGCTAGGATTCTGCAAGAACAGTCAGTGCTCTTAACCCCTGAGCCATCATCTCTCCAGCCCTGATTATTTTCTTATTGTGTTATAAGAATTCCTTATGCATTCTGGGTTCAGGTGTGTGTGCTTCAAATATTTTCTCTTAAAATCTGTAACGTGTCATTTCATTTTCTTTTCTGTGTGCTTCAAAGAGCAGATTTTTTTTTTTTCTTTTTTTCTGAGCCAGGTCTCCCTGTAGCCCCAGCTGGCCTGGAACTCACTATGTAGACCAGGCTGTCCTTGATCTCACAGGGATCTGTCTGCTTCTGCCTCTTGAGTGCTGGAACTGAAGGCTTGGGCCACCACATCTGGCCAAAGAACAAAAATCTTTAATTTTGATAAATATAATTTATCGTTTTTCCCTTTTATGCATCATGCATTTAGTGCAATCACAGAAAATCTTTGCCTGAGCCAAACTCACAAAGATTCATGCGTGCGTTCTAGTTTTAGATTTTAGCTTTAGATCTATGATTTATTTGGGGTTAAACTCTTGTGTGTTGTGAGGTATTAGCCAAGATTTCCTTTTTGCATTCACAGCAACCCGCACCATTTGTTGAACGGGTTTCCTTCCTCCATTGTCTTGGCTCTGTCCGCTTATTTAAAAATCAGAACTGACCAACCAGACGTGTATTTCTGGACTCTGTTTCTGCCAATCTTATACTGTGTGGATTAGTGTTGCTTTGTAGTTTTGAAATTGGGTAATGTGAGTTCTCTAACTTGGCTCTTTTTCAAGGTTCTTTTGACTATTTTAGCTTCCTGGAGAAAAACTTTAGAATCAGCTTGTCACTTTCCACAACAAGTCTGCTGAGATTTTCATCAGTATTGCTCTGAATCTATAGGTCAGACTGGAGAGAACTGGAACTTTCAGAAGACCGTATTTTGGGATCCACAAACGTACTATGCCTCTTCATTTATTTAGATTTTTAAAAAATCTTTTTATTTTCTTTTTATTTTATGTGTATGAGTGTATTGTCTGCATGTGTGTAAGTTCACCCTTATTGTGCAGCGCCTGCAGAGGACAGAAAAGGGCGTTGGATCCCCTGGAACCAAAGTTATAGACAGTTGTTAGCTGCCATGTGGGTGCTGGAATTTGAACCCAGGTCTTCTGCAAGTGCTCTTAACTGCTGAGCCATCTCTCTAGCCCCTTATTTAGGTTTTGTTTGATGTATTTTATCATTAATTCACAGCATATGAATTATACATCCATTTCATTTATACTTATTTCATGATTTTTGTACTATTGTAAATTTTTTTTTTTTTTGTCTTTTTGAAGAAGGGTCTCCCTGTAGCCCCAGCTGTCCTGGAACTCACTATGTAGACCAGGCTGGCCTTGAATTCACAGAGATCCACCTGCCTCTGCCTCCCAAGTGCTGGGATTAAAGGCGTGTGCCACCACGCCTGGCAAATATTGTGTAGGAGCAGTGAGAGCCTACATCCTTGCCTGAGATTCCCTTCATATTACAATGACATGACTAACAGCTGTTTTAGGAAGACCAGGGGCAGCATTTTGAAGGGAACTGCAGACAGCAGGACAGATCAGCCTTCTTTGCCTGCTTCCTCCCATCCTTCCAATCACTGTTGTCCACTGCACCTACTTTGAGCTCCCCTGCCACCTCTGTGTCCTCGGTCCTTCCTATCACCCTGTACTCTGCAAGTCTTCTCTCTCTGGCATCAGCCCACCTCTTTAGTCTTTGCTGGACAGCTTCTCTCTTCTCATGTTTTGTGGTTCTTCTAACCCCAGGTCAGGCCACAAGCCATTGCTGCCCTCTGCTCAGAATGAGGCCTTCCCAAGCCAGGATCTCCAGCCTCAAGGGACTTAGTTGTGGTTTTTTTTTGCCAGGCGGGGCGCTTTTCCATTACTTGAAATATCTATTTCACATGCTCCAACTTTTTTTTTCGTTTAAAAATGATTTATTTAATGTGTTTGAGCATTTTGCCAACACATATGTATGTGTACCACATGCATGTCTGGTGCCCACAGAGGCCAGAAAAAGGCATTGGATCCCCTGGAACTGGGGTGACAGATGGTTGTTAGCTGCCATGTGGGGGCTGGGAACAAAATCCAGGTCTTCTGCAAGAGCAGCTAGCTCTTAACTTCTGAACCACCACATCAGTTCAGATCACAGCTCTACAGCATACCAATAGGGAGACCTGGGGAATGTAACTTAGCCATCTGGAAACTCACTTTCTCCACTCATAGAAAGGGAAAGAACAGTAGCTGCTATACTAAGTGCCCTGTCGTTTTTACTGCCATTCCTCCTTTACATACCTCTCACCTCATAAGCCATGCACAGCCTTCCTTTAATGTCCCAGGCCCCACTCCACCTGTTGTACTCTCCTCTGCATCCTACTTCCTGAAGGGGGTGGGTGTGCCCACAGCTGCATTCTTCGCTTTCTTGAGTTCACTACTGGCCAGCTCTGGTCTCACCATCACAACACTGCTCCTCTCATCAAGTGTCCAAAGGCAGTGGGCACTCCTCTGTCTACTCTCTGAACCACACACAGCAGCTCAGAAACGGCCTCTAGGCACTTGTAGCTGCAGCTCCTCAGGTGCTGTCTTGGCCAGTCCCCCAGTGTTCAAGACACAGCCTCATAGCTGCTCTCACCACAGTGTTCTCAATCCCCAGTGCAGTGCTTAGGACATTCTGAGGCCCAGAAATATTTCTAGCTGGGAGTGTAGCTCAGTGGCGGGGCACATACTTAGCGTGTAAAGGCCCTGAGTTCAGTTCTAAACACCAGAAAAATTAGCAAGTGAGGGAACCAACAAAGCAATGAATCAATACCAGGGCAGAGAAGGAACGAGAGAAAGGAGCAGGGAGCTGGGCAGAGTTTGGGGCAAGAAGATACCATTTGGTTTCGGTTCTGTAGAGTTCAGCGAGGGCGTTTGAAACACAGAATTTGAGCAGGAGACCCAGATCTGGAGCCAGTGAGAGGCTGGTGGGGGTGCTTCAGAGCTACTTGATTCCCTTCATGACTGAGAGGGTCCCCTGTGGCCAAAACTTTTCATTGGTGCTCTTAGGAATTAAGTACTTTCTATGTCATACAAATCAACATTTTTCTGTGCTTCATAAACATCTACTACATAGTTTTCCTTCTAACTTTAAAAAGTGTATCAGTTGAATCAAACACTTGTAAACATTTAAACGGAATCACTAGTAGGCTACTTGAGTGCTTCAAACACCTTGAAGGAAGTAGACCCTCACATGGCTTAGTGGTTCATGGATCTTTGGGGCCACACAGTAGGAATGGAGTTCTGATTGGAGACCTGGTTCCTTTTAGTGGAAGATCAAAATCTTCATGGCAAGGGCATGAAGCATGGGGCAGGTGGAAGAGGGGCAGAGGTGCTGTTGGGCCTCTTTGTTTTGACAAAACGTTTGCCGGCTAAGGCTCTTGAAGTTGAGATGAGGCTTGGACTGGCTTAGGGAGCACGTGGGGGCTCAAGAGGGATGAGGTTAATGAGCTGGGAGGAGGGCAGTCTCAGAGAGGTGAGAGGAGAACCTGGTCAAGAGGAGGTGCTGGAGAGATGGCTCAGTAGTTAAGAGCATTGGCTACTCTTGCAGAGGACACCAGTTTAGTTCCTAGCATCCACATGGCAGCTAATAGTCATCTTTAACTCCAGTTCCAGGGGATCTGACACCCTCTTCTGGCCATTGCAGGCATTGTGTGCATGGGTCCACTTATGTACATGCAGGCAAAACACTCATACACATAAAAAAATAAATAATTTTTAAAAAGAGAGAGTGTCCAGGGGATGCTGGGCATGGTAGTACACCTCTCACCTCTGTAATTTTAGCACTGAGGCTGAGACAAGAGAGTGGCTGCAGATTTGTGAGGCTGGCTTGTGCTACAAAATGAGATTGTCTCGAAAAAAACAAAACAAAACAAAGTGTCCAAAAGAGGACTTCACCTTTGAGCTTGACCTTTATTTTCAAGGCATTGAGTCCAGATTTTCCTAGGCCATGTGATTTTGGTTGTGAGAATCTGCCCTTCCAGATAGTACAATTCAATGAACCTTTAGAAAACAAAAATGAGATGTGGGAAGACCAAGAAGTGATGGTCGGGTGGTGGGACTGTCTTTGGACCACCTGAGTAGCCAAAGGAGGCTGTGACTGACCAACCGTCTGGAAGAAGGTAGATCAGGATGTGTGGCCAGTGGAGACGTGGGGTACCAGTGATGGGGAGCCCTGGAGAAAGCAGGAGAGGTGGGTGTCAACACTGGCCTTCAGAGAGCTGCTCAGAAGTAGATTGCTCTGCCTGGGAGCCCTGGAAGGCAGGAGGTCATGCTCATTCTCCAGCTTCCCTGCCCCTTGAGAGTCTTGCTGTGGCCTGGGCTGAGCGCTGGCTTGAACTGTCTGGTTGAGGGAGGGTCACTGGTGGATGGCCTGCCAGTTCTGATGTTCTTTTCTTACCTCCTCCAGTGCAGATACCATCAGGGATATAACCCTTTTGACCTGGGCTGTGCCAGGAACTGGTATTTATCAATTTGTGCACCACTGGGACCCAAGTGAGTTGGTAACCCTAAATGGTGGACCTCAGGGCTCGTGGGGTGAAGCTGGCCTCAGTTCTCAGGCGTAGCACTCGCTGTTCCTTTCCTTTGGGATTTTCACCAGTGGGAGCCCTTCTGTGGGTTCTTGCCTCAAGACCAGGGGCTGAGGGAGCTGCATCCTGGATGAGCCTGGCCGCAGCTTCTGGCAGGGCTGATTCTTGGGCTGGGTCCCCAAGCTGGGGAGGAGCAGGCAAGAGAAAGAAAGACTAAAGCCCTAGCTATGGAGGGCATTGATTCCTTGTATCTGGCCTGTTTGTTGCTCTCCAGGTACATGTCTGAAGCTATCTGTTTGCAGAGGGCTGTAGGGCCTGAGTGGATACCCGAGCAGACTCCATACTCACCTAGGTGGCCCCCTACACACTATCCTCCAGAACTCCTTGAGCCCCAGCCCCAACCTCTGGGTGAGGCTGCAGTTCTCCAGAAGGTGAGAAGGGAAAAGATTGGGACTGGGGCATCTGTGGACTGCATTTGTATTGGGAAAAGTGGAGAGAGGAGGGAGACAGGCCCTGAAGTAGAGTAGTCAGCGTTTGGGGGAGAGAGGTATGATAGACCTCCCCGCCCCTGCAGAACCTGGAAAGAGAGGGTCACAAGCTTCCAGTCTAGGCCCAGGAAGCCCCCGGAGTCAGAAAGAGGAAAGAGCCAACTTGTTTTGCACCTTGGGCCAGTCACCGTGTCTGGATCTGTTTCCCCAGTTGTTAAGGACAGAGACTAACTCCATAGTTTATACTATATTGAAGGAGATCACTTTATTCAAAGGAAATTTTTTCATAGGGCTCTTTTTATGTTTTTGTTTTTTTGAGACAGGGTCTCCCTGTAGCCCAGCTGGCCTGGAACTTGCTATGTAGACCAGGCTAGTCTAGATCTCAGAGACTGGCCTGCCTCTGCCTGCCTCCTGGGTGCTGGGATTAAAGGCGTGGGCCTAGGGTTCCATTCTCACTTGAAACGCAGTATATTGGGAATGCAGTGGGTGCGGGTCACCAACAGCGCCCTTCTGGGGCTTGCGGGGACCTCCTCGGTGCCAGCCCTTCCCTTTGCTCAGCCTCAAGGGGCTGGTGGGCTGGGCTAGGAGCTGGGACAGAGGAGACTGGGGGCAACCCGCTGCAAGCACCCACTCTGTGTTTAGTTTGGCTCCAGCCCACTGCTGTCCCTGCTGCCAGAAGCTCCTAGACAAGGCTCGCCGCTCCGCACCGCACCCGGAGCCACTCGCACCTCCCAGTGGTAGTCCACCTGACACGCATGGGCCGGGCCCTTGTGGCTCTCCTGACGGGAGCGTCGACCCCTGCCCCCATTAAATATTGTTTGTTGCTTCTTGCTGAACGTGTCTGACTGTGCAACGGGTGAGGGGGGCTTGGGGACAAAGATCTCCAGGGATGGATGAGCCAGGATCCTTGGAGATCCGAGGTCAGGGGTCACCGTTACTTGTCTCTGTGACCTTGGGCACGACACAAACCCTTCCCTCACTCTTAACAATGGGCCAACAGTATTAACTGCGCGACTGACCTGGCCCGGCTTCCCAATGCTGGCTGGCTTTGAGAGGAAACCCTCCAGCAGCTGGGGAAGGATGCAGCCTCCACCATGTAGTACCCTTATCTGGCTGCAGGGGGCGCCCGCTGCCCGGGAATTCGCTAGCCGGGGTCAGGAATTCACAAGCGGAGTCTGGCCCAGCACTGTGGCCTTGGACCCTGTGGGGTGGCGGGGCCATCAGGCTGGGTGTGGTCAACCCTCCCAGCGGCTCAACCTCAGGGGGCCGGCGGGCTAGGCTGGGAGCTGGGACAGAGGAGACCTGGAGAAGCAAGGGGGTCTCCATCTCAAGCTTAACCTGCATCTCTCTCCTGCAACCACGTCTCACTTGGTGTCCCCACATCCTCCACCTTTCCCCGGTGTGATCTAAAGTCCTGTGAGGCTGTAGGGTCCTGGGCGTGTGTAGGGGGCACATCAAGCTCTGGCTGTGCAGGCGGCCACACTGTGACCTTGGGTGGTACAGGGCATCTCTAGAGCTCTCTAGACCACAAAGTCCAGACACAAAGCTGTCCCTGGAGGCCCCAGGTCCTTCTCTGTCCAAACTGTCAACTCCAGCTACCTGCTCTCCTTCTGGCCTCTGGGCTCCTGGCTAGCCCATTTTTTCAGCACCACAAGTCCCTTTCTCCACTCTTACCCCTGCTCAACTTAGCTGTTCTGGGTGTTTTTATATGCTTCACAAGCTTATGAAAAGTCAGCCCAGGTTAGCCCTGCCAAATGGCTTCAGGGGCCACGTTTAAGCATAGATCTAAAGCAGCCTGGCTTTGTCTGGAAAGTCATAAGTTCATGGTTACAAAGAAGACAAAGAGAGGAGTCCTTTTGAGCCACTGAGCCCAGGTGTGTGCCTGCAACTCACACCAAGGCTCAGTGTGGGCCTGTGTGTGCCAACGAGCAAGAGGATGTCAAGAATGGAGCAGACACTGGGCGCCCCTCCATTTTCACCCAAAGGAGCTTCCTCTAGGTGGTCCAGGAGGGTAGGCCAAAGTCTGGGTGTAAATCATACAACTTCCTGGGTTGAGAGTGGCCCCTGCCGAAGTCCGAGCTCCACTGGAGGCTTTGGGGAGGCTGTCTGTCTCTCCACAGCCCAGCCTGGTACAAGACTGTACCTACTGGGTCCTGGCCTCCAGGTACACAGGGGTTTCCAGCAAAGGGTCTTCTGAGGCCTAAGCCAGGTTGTCTCCCCAGCCCCAAGGTCTCTCCCCACTAGGCAAGGATGTAATTTCATCAGATTCTGAAAAGAGGCCCTGACTTCTCAGAAGGCAATCACTTCCTGCTCTGAGATGAAGATGCTAGGTCTCTCTGCTCCTCCCAGTGGGGGATTTCTGGGGCTCCTTGAGGGTTAAGGAGTACCTAGCTCATCTCTTCTTTGACACTCCTCCAGCCTTCCCCTAAGCTTTGGGGTCACTCTTATGTCCTTCCCTGCCGGTCTGGGCGGCTTTACTTGGGCTGTACCCTTCTTTCCCCTTCTGCCCCTCCTTGTTTCTGCTGAATTTGCCCCTGGTTCTCAGATGTACTCCACCCAGTCCTTGGTCTACTGATAAAGCAAGAGCTGCTATCAGAGGCCCCATTATGGGTCCTGCTGTCCATACCCCCCCCAGAAAGACCTGCCACTCTCAGGGTGAAGGCTGGAGCTAAGAATGACTGTGTGCCAGGTCACACACTGGAGCCACTCTTGAGGACTCCCAATAGTCTGGCTCCTAGATTCTGCAAGGGGAGCCCAGTACCCATCTCCAGAGTCTTCCTCATAGCTTGTGGGTGATCAGGACATGTGGAGTGAGACTGGTCACTTAGCTCTGCTGCCAAATAATGTACATGGGAGAAGTCACTTCCCTCTGCTCAGTCCCTACAGTAATTTAGCTCACAGTCAGACACCTGTCTTTCTGGAGAAGGAGGGGGCTCAGGGACCCTTTACCCCACAGCCTGCCACCCCTAGTTTCATAGACAAGGCTCTGGGGCTGGGGAGGGAAATGGTTATCTAAAATAATCTGATGGTAGCAAGCCTGGTAGTGGCTCTCTGGTTTGAAGGCTGCTCTCAGGTTTGAAGAAAGCCACTGCAGTTCCTGCTCTTGAGCCACTTCAGCAGAAGAAGGGCCTGGGCAATGACTGCAGGGCCAGCTCTCCTGGCTCGAATCAGGCAGTGCATTACACCGTCACTGGGCAGCTGATAAAGAGGCTGCTGAAGTGTTCGCAAGCCTGGTCTACTTGATAATGGTTCCTGCAGCCTCTGTTCACCCCACCCTGCTCTGCCCTCGCCACCCCACCCATGGGGCCATGTAAATGGCTTAGGGTTGAGCAAGGTAGGATGGATGGGGTAGAGGAGGCTACTATAGTGTGGAATCCAGGACTAGAGTCCTCACACCTCATGGGGCACAGGCACCTTACCTTGCTGGTCACCCTCCGGTGTACCTGGGTCTGGTTCCAAGCCCCTAGGAGACATCTATGTGGGCCTGCATCCCTTCCCTCAGCAAGTCATTAGTTCTTAGCATGCAAAATGTGGTTGGAAGGACATAGCCTGACTGGAGTAGGCCTGTCTCTGGTGATAAAAACCTTTGCTACTCACTGTCCCTGTCAGGCCTGTGCTAAGTGGTTTATATTATCTTTTAAATGTCACATCAACCCTGTGAAGTTGTTATTCTGGTTTTAGAGATGAGGAAACAAACGCTGAGCAAACCAGTCACTTCCCCTAGGTCACATTGCTGAGTGGCAGAGCCAAAAGCCCCTAGGTCCTTTCCCATGACACTTTCTAAACAGTCATCACATTTGACTTCAGCACAGAGTATGATTAAGATATGGCCTCTGAAGACAGACCGTGGGCTCAACTGTGCTCAAGCAAGCACCTGGCCAGGGGTGCTAAATGGTGGCCATCATCTTTATAGTGTGACCCAAGGGCTGCAGGAGGCAGGACTTTGTATGACCTGCTTAGGACCTTGGAATGCAGTTACTATGATAGCAGCAGCTGCTTGTGCCCAGTTTGGAACAGGATCCCTTGAGGGTGAGCAGTGAGGTGGAAGGGTGCTGCTTCGAAGGGGAAGTTTGTGTTATTGTTTTATACAAAGTCAACCCATGTGGACGTCTCAAGGCCGAAGAGGCTCAGGTACAAAGGCTAGAACCCCTCCAGGGAGCAGTAAGATGTCACCTGGGGCTGTGCATTCTGAATAAGCCAGCAGCTAGCTGCTTGTCTTTGTCACTTGTATTCACAGTGCCTCAGGCTGAAGGAAGTCAAAAGCCACTGTGGCTAGGCAACTCCTCAGAGCCACTGCTGTCTCTGGCTTCTGTCCTCTGTCCTTTCTTTGGAGCCTGTCTATGTCCCAGGCTCTGTCTCTAAGTCTGCCCCACCTCTTCTCTGCAGAGCCTTGTTCTTCCTGTCCTTCCCACCTCTTCAAATTCTTTCTTGTCCTTTCTTCCTTTGCCCCCTTTCACTGCCCCCAAATGTTCCTGGATGACAACTTCAGGAACAAAAGCCAACTGGCAGCCTTCAAGTAATAACGTCTAACTGTGACTCTTGGAAGCACTAGGGTCTGGGTATAGAGAATGTGGGCTGGGTCTGACTGTGATTCTTGGAAATTCTAAGGACTAGGGTATAGAATATGCAGGCTGCAGGCAGCCTCTGTATAGGGCACCTTTGTTTGCCTCTGCCTGGGGCTTCTACCACCTAGCCAAGCACCTGTTTTCCCAACTGCTTTTTGGCTGGGAAAGTTTTGTCAGGGAAATCAGAGATTTCCAAACTAGAAGAAACTTCCTGGCTATCTAGTTTCTCAGGGAGATGGCAACCAAGGTACAGGTGTTAGAGAGGGCTTCCCCTAGACTCACATAATTCAGGAAAGGCTATCTAAGACTGTGTCCAGGTGTCTGCCATCACAGCCCTGTGCCCTTCCACACTCCGTGGTGAGAAAGCTGGGCCAGGCCCTGGCCTGTAAACAGGAAGGGCTTGGAGACCTAGTTGCTTGTTCCCAGTGGGCAGGATCATAGGAATGACGGCAGTAATTACAGTTGCTTTGAATGCTTTCTGTGTGCCAGACATTGGGTTAAATGTTCTTCTTGCATTAGCTCATTTAATCCTTAAGCAAGTGTGAGGAAGGCACTGCCAATACCTATGTGGTATGGCCCTGGACTATTCCCAGGCCTGTAAGGACAGAGATCCTCCTGTCCTGACCTCCTGACATATCTTTTTTTTTTTAAAGTGCTGGGGTTCAAACCCAGAGCTTCATACATGCAAGTCCAGTGTCCTATCACTAAGCTACAGCTTTAACTTTGTTTGTTTTTGAGATAGGGTCTCCCTGTAGCCCCAGCTGGACTGGAACATGTTTTGTGAATCAGGCTGGCCTCAGTCTCACAGAGTTCCACCTGCCTCTGCCTCCCGAGTTCTAGGACTAAAGGTGTGGGCCACCATGTCTGGCTCCAGTCTTTAATTTTGAAACAAGGTCTCACTAGGTTACTCAGCCTTGTCCAGGACTCATTCTTTAGCCCAGGGAGACCTTGAGTTTGTGAACCCCCTGTTAGGGTTCCAAATAGCAGCTCCCCCCGCTCCCCAACAGGAACCTACAGACTTTGGAGCCTGGAAAAGGGAACTTAGCTGATAAGCACCTTGACCTTTGAGGTCAAGAAGAACAAACTCTGCTGAGAAGCAGCCTGCCTTTCCTCTGACCTCCAAAGATAAGATAAGCAGATTTCCTCTTATCTTAAGAGGGAAAAAGTAAACACTTC